AAAAAAAAACTAATTGCACCGATTTTTATAGCAAATAGATGCAAGTAAATGGTCACGTCACCACCGGAGCCAGCGAAGCAAATCAGTGGATAAAAATTTTATTCTAGAAAAGTAAAAAGAGAAGATGCTAACAATAACGGGTAACCTAACTAAACCTAAAGTAATTTTTCATAACAAAACATACAAGTGAGATACGTAATACAGACAACAACTTTCATACGAAGCATTAGGAACATAATCAACTTGGAAAGAACATTCATCGACTCCAGAGAACTCTAGAAGCTAGAAAGTTGTCATGTGCTTCGATAAAATTAGTGAGTAGTAGGTAAGTTGAGCAACACGTTCTGATTTCCCGGAAGATACGTGACGTTCCTGGCCCTTGACATGCGTTCTGCAATTTCCTCGGCTGCTTCGATCTTTCGCAATTCTATCAATCCATCTCCAGCATCGGCAAATGCCTAAAATATGTAAGATGATTCAAAAATAATGACCGAAAAAAATGCACAAACCTTGCTAAGAAGTTTAGCAGCCTGAGCATCTCCTTCAGCTGTGGTAATGGCGGCAATTTTCATTTGCTCAGCTTTCTCTACAAGATATCGTGCCTTCTCGGCATCTTGTTGAGCCACTTGCTTCATTTCGACGGCCTCCGTAAATTCGCGTCCGAAAGACAAATGGGTCTAAAAAAACCCATCGCTAGATGCTGAGGAAGATAAAAACCTGACACCTTAGAAGCAAGATAATGAGGAATTTTGACTAAAATCAACTGCGAAAGATATGAATGGTAGTCATCCACGATGAAGCGAAGGATAACAGGAGTGGATCATGAAGATGAGGCTGACAGAACGTGAGAAAGGGTGCAATTCAGTATGGTGCGTTTGCACATGAAAAAAGAAGAAAATTCTGAACTAAAATGCCATCTTTCTTCAGCAAAACTTAAAGGCTACTAACATTCAAAAGTACTAGTTTTAGAAAATAAAAGCCTAGTAGTTTGAAGAAAAACTACGGTTCAAAAAAAACAATTATTCCCCTCCCCCCTCTTGAAGACACGAATCGTCAAAGAAAGCCTTTATAACAACTCACGATCGAGATATCATCCAGGAGAAGTCCGAACTGTGCTGCTCGCTGAGACAAAGCTAACGACACTCGCTGTGAAACCGTTTCTCGTTGTGTGATCATTTCATGTGCATCGAATTGAGCCTAGGAATCAGAAAGTCGGAATGTCCGCCAAGATTTCAACTGATGCAGAGTGCTTGACGATGGATCTTATCGATAATTCCGAAATACACATGAAAACTCCATAATCTTGACTAATATGCCTAACTTTTAACACCATAATCTAGTGCACAAAAACGAGCAAACGAGGGAATGGATGAAATAGAGCTCTACAAAGTAAAAAATTCAAT